GCCCCGGATGTCAGGCTTTCGAGCTGAACCGTCATGGGGTCTGCAGGCCCGGGAATAGCCCTCAGTTTCAGGCTGAAAAGGCTCAGGCCTTTTTTTGGCTAAAACGATGCAGGTCCTGTGGGCCCCGGATGTCCGGCTTTTGGGCTGAACCGTCCTGGGGTCTGCAGGCCCTTATTTCCAGGCCTTGAGCCTGAAATTCAGGCTTCCAGCCTGAAGGACGCAGGGCCTGGAAAATGGTCCTCGTGTGCAGGCGCAGCATGTAACACCCCCCCCTCCTTATGAAGTCAAGCCGGGTTGGGGGCGCAGCTGACGATCTGAAGGTGAAACCTGGACGTGGTTGCGGCGTGGAGCCGAAGATGCCGGCTTGCCTTGCATCTTTCGTTCATACCGTACGAGAACATCTGGAGCTATCGCTTGGAGTTCCGCACGGGTCAACCAGCGGTCGGCTCGGTGGGTGCAATACGCAAAGTGTACCAGATACTCGGTCAGCTTGTTGTCGTAGCGTCGCTGGGAAATGATGTCACCGACCTCCTGAAAGCCGTCCATCTAGGGTGGGTCTTGAGATCGTCGCCCGGGAAAGTCATCTTGGTCTGCTGGTGTGTACAACGCCAACTTGGAGCAATGGAAAACCGGGTAGACGGGCAAGTGGGCGGGCACCTGAACTGTGAAGGACGGTCCCTCAGGTGCATCCCCAGCAGGTGCTACAATCGGCCATGGGCCCATCCAATTCGGGAGGAGCTTGCGAGAGATATCCTGCTCAAGGTTGAATTCCGCGGCGGAAACCCACATGAGGTCGCCGGCGCGAAATGGACAAGGAAGACGCTGGCGATTGGCCTGTTAGCTCATGCGTTGCTGCGTCTTTGCCATCTGACTGCGTGCCTTGACAAGAAGCTCTTGCATCCGGCGCAAGAAAAGGAGATGGTTGTCGCTCTCGGCCGTGCGTGGAACGATGGTGTCCGGCGGAGAAGTGATCGGAGAGCCATGCTCAAACTTGAAAGGCGACATCCCGATAGCCGGGTGGATGGACGAATTGTAGGCCAATTCGACATCCGGCAACCTCTCAACCCAATCCTTCTGATCGGGACGGATGAGAGTGCGAAGAAGAACCTGTGCCGTCTGGTGCGCCCTCTCCGTCTGGCCATCCGTCTGAGGGTGGCGAGCTGAACTAGGCTTGAGAGATGAGCCTCATCGTTTGGTGAGTGCCAACCAAAAATCAGACATGAACCGAGTGTCCCGGTCGCAAACGATTTCCTTGGGGTAACCCTTGGTTCGAATCCAACCGGCGTAGAGAACCTCGGCCAATTCTGGTGCCTTGGCATGATAGCGACAAGGCAAAAACATGGCAAACTTGGTGAGTCGATCGACTACCGTGAGAATCCCATCCACACCGGTCTTGTGCTTAGGGAATGGTCCAGTGATATCCATGGCAATCGCCTCCCGTCGGCGCAAGGGAACCGGTAGTGGTCGCAACTCGCCATACGGACGATGATTGCGGGATTTGCAACGCCGGCAAATCTCGCATGACTCGCAGTACCGTGTGACGTCGTCGAGAAGACCGGGCCACCAAAATCGCTCGCGAAGTCGGCCAATCGTTCGATTGACGCCAAAATGTCCGGTGGCGGGAGCATCGTGGAACTCGCCAAGAAGCCGCGTACGCAAGTAAGGGTCACTCGGTACGCAAAGAAGATCCTTCCCCCGCGAGTGGACGAGCAAATATCCCTCCTGGATCCGGTAGTGAGAAGGTGCCGGATTGGGTGAGGAACAATTCGTGTACTTGTCGCGAAACTCGGGGTCGGCCTGGTAGCCGCAGATGAAACTGTCTCGCAAGTCGTCATCAATCTCGAACGTCGAGTAGACCGCGGTGCAATGGTCCGGACGCCGTGAGAGAGCATCCGCAAAACGGTTCGACTTGCCCGAAATGTGATCGGGGAAAAAGTCAAACTGGTCAATGAAGGTCATCCAGCGGGCAATGGTGCTGTTGACTGTGTCTTGGGTCTTGTAAAAGACCAACGGGTTGTTGTCCGTTACCCATCGGAACTGCCGTCGACCAAGAAGGAAATGCCGCCAGCGCTTGAGTGCGTGTACGAATGCCAATAACTCCTTCTTTCGTGCATCATCAATAGAGTGCACGGCGGGCACTTTCTTGCTGAAATACTCGACCGGGTGCCAGTCCACGCCATCGTGTTGTTCGAGGACTGCACCAATGCCATAGCCGGATGCATCAGTAGTGACGCGTGTGGGCAATAGCGGGTCGTAGATCCGCAAGACCTCCGCTGACAAAAGTGCAGCTTTAAGAGCCAAGAAGGATTTTCGTGCATCCTCGTCGAAGTCAAACGGCCGATCCTCGCATTGAAGCTTGGTCAAATGGGCCGCGATCTTCGAATAGCCCTTGATGAAGCGCTGATAGTAGCCGGCAAGACCAAGAAACGAACGGACATCCGTGACGTTACGCGGCTCGAGCCACTCCTGGATGGCTTGAATTTTCTCCGATAGGGGGCTGATGCCCTCCGGTGTGACAAAATGGCCCAAGTACTCAAGCTCTTGCCGGACGAACTCACACTTGTCGCGGTTGGCTTTGTACTTGGCACGGCGGAGCGTCTCCAACACTCGTCGAAGATGCTCAAGATGATCCTCCAAGGTCCGACTATAGACGAGAATGTCGTCTAAGTAGACCAGCACAAACCGATTCAGCATCGCACGAAACTCATCGGTCATTGCCGCTTGGAAGGTTGTCGGGGCATTGGTGAGGCCAAAAGGCATGACCACCCACTCAAAATGCCCATACCGTGTCTTGAATGCGGTTTTGTAGCAATCATTCGGGCGTATCGAAATTTGATGATACCCCGACTTCAAGTCCAACTTGGAAAAGAACACCGCCCAATCGCTCAAGAAGGTCGTCGATACGAGGAAGAGGCCCCGCAATCTTCACAGTTTGCGCGTTGAGCTTGCGGTAGTTGATGCACAGACGTAGATCCTTGTTCTTCTTCCTTACGAAGAGAACGGGTGCTCCATATGGGGAACTGCTAGGGCGGATCCAGCCCTTGGCCAACAAGTCGTCGAGTTGTGCGCGAAGGACCTCCAGTTCCTCCTCGCTCATCCGATAGATGCAACCTTTCGGCGGCACGGCACCGTCCTCAAGAATGATCTTGTGAGAGATCGGCCGATCCGGCACCACACCGGTAGGTGACTCGAAGATGTCGGCGAACTCGTCAAGCAGCCGTACCACACGGGGGTCCGAAGACAAGTCCGATGGTGAAGAGTCGGCTACCACGACGGTCCGCAAGAAACATAGGCCTATCTCGTCGGGTTGCTCATATGCACRTGTAGCCCGGAACGATTTGGCCGTCACGACTTGGCACCGGATCGAAGGGTGMGGAAGAGGAATAGTACRCGGCACCTCGGCGCCGAGGGCGTCRCGAACGGTGAGAGTCCGCTGGTGAAAGTTGACCGTGTGATCCGCACTTGCGAGCCAAGGCATTCCCAGGAWGATATCGAAGTCCGTGTCCAAGATGTCGAACGTGACCGGTTCGCATGCATGAGGTGCGAAGTACACCGGTACAGCCTCSATGTAACGGTCGAGAAGTTGCTGCGTCTTTCCATCCGCCAACTTGATCGCCGTCGGGTTTGCCTTCCTTCGAACCTGCGCGCCGAGGCCAGCCCTTTGCATAAAGGCTTGGCTCATGAAGTTGCGAGTCGCGCCGCTATCCAGCAAAGCGCTGCAGGACGCTTGCCCAACTTGGATGCGGACATACATCAGCGGTGCGTCATTGTCGTCGTACCGCTGCGTGCGAAACTCGCGGGCCACCTTGGTAACATATGCCAAGATGTCCCCCACCGCGACCTCGTCATCCGTCGGCAAAGTTGGTGGTGCATAGAAGGACAAGTACTTGTGAAGATGGGCGCAGAGTGCTGCGCATTGCGGTCCCGGCAAGCGGCCCGTGGTCAGGAGAGGAAGCCATGCGAAATCCTCAGACGTGAGCGGGTTCAATTCCTCTATGTTGAACTCGCGCGCCGAATCCCGTGAAGAACCACTTGAAGACGAAGAAGAACCGCTGCCGGACGGAGAAGATGCCGCACACACGTCTTGTCCTTGAGCAAAAGATCCCAGCGTCGGAACGAGCAGGGCAGCATAGTCCTCAAAAGAATAGAGAAGAGGACAATCGACTTCCGCATGCGCCCCGGAATGAAGGTCGGTCACTCGCGAAGAAACCGGGTCTGAAGGCGTCGAGAGTGTCGTCGACGCACTCTCGGCGGCGCTCAGTTTCCCTGCTTGCCCTTCCCCTTGGTAGGGCAGCCCGCTGTCTCGTGGCAGTCGCTGTTGCACCACAAGCAGTAACGGTATTTCGTGCGTTGCTTGTAAGGTTGCTCCGAAAGACCGTAAGGGGTCCAGGGCCCCTGAGCTGCTGCGCCGGGCCCGGGGTTTGATGTGGTGTTTGTCTTCGATTTGCCGCGTCCTCGGCCTCGGCCGGGGCGGCCACCATCCCGGGCAGCTGCGAGTCTGTTTCCTTCATTGGCAGACTCCGCCTCGCTAGATTGGCTGCTTGGCGATGCCGCCGCAACCACGGCCACCTTGGGCTGATGCTGGTCCTTGCTCGGGCCTGCCGCAGCACGAGTGAGGTTCTTCGCCTCCTTGTTTGTGACGATTATCTGCGCGGCCTTATCGAACAGTTGCGCCGTCGTTGTCAGTGTGTCCTCAACATGCGTCAAGGCGTTGCTCAACATCGGGCATGACCTTGAAATGAAGTCGTGCTTGATGGCTTTGAAGCCCATCGGGAGACCTGGGAAGGATGTCAAGCGTTGGTACTCGGCAATCCAGTCGACGCTTGGCAGCGAGCCTTGATCAAAGATCGTGAGCTTGTCCATGGCCTTGATCTTTGGCGGCTCCACTTGGAATCGCTTGTGCCACGCCGCCTTGAGGTCTTCCCAGCTGATTTTCGTGTGTAACTCGGCAGCGACCACCCCGTACTGGGACAAGAGATTGTCCAGCCATGCCTGGCATGCGCCTCCCGACCGGGAGTATAAGTACGCCTGGTGCTTGCATTCGCTGACGAGATGCAGCTGCAACGTGAGTTCAAACTTGTGGAACCACTGAACTGGATCCATCTTTGTTGAATCGCAGAAGATCTCCTGACCGTCAAACTTGGGAGTTGATTCGCGTTGTCCCGAACTCGGGCTGGCGGCGGCAGCACAGACCCGCTGCTCCAATTGTTGAGTAGCGGTTTGTTGTAGTCGTGCGCCGTCCTTGAGTGAACTGACGTCAGTCTCCAATGCGTTGAGGCGGTCTGATGTGTTGGAGGAGCTTGCCACAGGGGCGGCGGCGGGTCGTTGCTCCAGCTGCTGTAAGCGGCTGCGAACACTCTTGACTTCGGCATCAAGGCTGTGAATGTCCTCCTGCGGCGCGATGCATGTCGCCAGGAGGTCCGTGAGATGGGAAAGGAGGAGGGCAATCTTGTTCTCGCTCTCCTCCATCTTCCCTGTCTCCGCCTCAGTTCGCCATTCC